AGTTAGATTTGTGTGTTTATTTTGAATCCCTGTTTTTGTTTTCTGTATTTATCATTTCTTTAGACTCGTTAGTAATCCTGTCTGATATCAGCAAATCTCTCTCTGCTTTTATCTTTTGGTTTATAAAGTTCTCTGTGAATCCTCAGCGTGTATCTAAAGCCAAAACTTGCTTTGTGTTGGGTAGAGAAGGGAATTAATAAAACCCATCACAGTTTTTGGTCCTTGTCATACAGCATGTGTGACATTGGGGAGATCTCCCTCAACTTCCTGTCCTGTGGCCACAACAGGAAGTCGGAGGATATCTCTGCCTGTGTCTACATCACTACACAACTGCGTTATACACTGAGAGGCCAGATTATTATGACCCCCATCAGTACTTCGTTGGGCCGCCTGGTGACTCCACGAGATGATGAAAGGTGATGCGAGGAATCTGACACGGCACTGTTACCCTTCTGTTGTCTTGTACCAGTCTTGCCCCTCCCCCGTTCTGCCCTAACATTGACTAGTCGCTGACAGCCACAATTCGCACGTTCAGACCCAGATTTTCGGCTGACAGTCCGGTCTTTAAACATTTAACAATGAGCCGCTCCTGAACATTTAACGAATTCTGCTGTTTTGCTGATACTCGCTCCATGGCTCCGAGCGCCAACAATCATCCCGCGTAGCATTAGAGTGTAAGCTCCTCTGGTGCAGCAGATATTTCTGAAACTTGTAACGAATTAGAATTTTCTTTTCTCTCTCTGAGTTTATTTTTTGCTGGTGGGCGGTTGTCCTTTTATCCTCAGCGTAGGCCGGACATTCCTGATAAATGCGTCTTATACACGTGTTGGAAACTCTTCAGTTGCATATTTCATATTAATAAGACTATAAAGTTGCATCATCCTGGTACTCGGGGTGACCGGTTTCCATCCAGAATGCAGAAGAATCCCACCGCACTCCTTACTGGTATGTCCATTGTGGTGGGTGGTGTGGTGACTGCGGATGGCGCCGCTTCAACTCCATATAGTAAAGTATGTCACCAGCACACCGCGGTTCAATCTTCAAGCGCTGATCGTTTTATTGATGCGCACACATCTTGTCACATTGCAACGTTTCGGGGCCACTCGGGGTCCCTTCATCAGGCATGATCACCGCTTTACGATTGAACCACGGTGTGCCGGCGACGGACTTTACTATTTAGGTTTCCATCCAGAACACGTATCTATTATTGTGTGTGACTAATCGAAGTGTTTTCTCCACAGGGCAGCTGAGGGGAGCAGGAAAGCTCGCCCCACTGCCGCCATGAAGACGTTCGAACAGTCAGAGAAATCGAAGAAGACGGTGAAGTCCATGATTGAGAAGCCGGGGGACAAGACCAAGGAGAACAACAAAAAAAACAAGGCTTCCAGGAAGGAGAGTGAGTGGAGGGCGTGCAATGCTCCGTATAGTATCGTCTCTGTATAGGCAGCGCTTCCCTGTGTGTGCGGTATGTGTCTTTGGGGCCCAGCACCGAACCCAAACCACTCCTATTAAAGGAGAACTATGAGGCGAGTGATTTTCACTCACCTCATAGTTCTAGCCGACCTGTGACAATGAGACTGTCACCGGTTGTCTCAGTTGATCGGGAGGTGAGCGAACACATACCGGCGTTCCCTCACTTCTCGATCTATCTGTCACTGTTACTCACCGCTCCCTGCAGGGATCCCCCCCCCGTCCGATCCTCCGGGACTGAGATCTTCTAAAAGATCTCTTTAGAAACGATCTGTTGTAGATCTTCAGATTGCAAAATTTCAGGCCATTTAATTAATTAATTTCCTAATTTATTCCACGGGCGCAATTAGCTAGAGGGGGGATACAGTCTTAGGGGAGGGGGTTGGGCGGTCCCTGATCTGTGTTCAGCTTTAAAGGAGGACTATGGGGTCAGGGCTTTTCCCCATAGTTCTCAGGGTAACCCTAGGCTCAGTATACCGCGAGCTGTAGCACACTATATACTGAGACGCCGCGGCTGAAGCAGATCCCGACAATTGTGCCGGGATCCGCCCAGCTGCTTGACTGACAGCTGGTTCTGCCTATCTAGAGGCAGAGCCAGCTGTACCCTTCCCCGTCCGTTCCGCCAGTCAGCGATGTGAGAGGGGAATCCAGCCCCTCCCCTGTCACGGCAGAGAGCTGTGACAGGATCGAGAGGTGAGCGAACGCCGGTATGTGTTCGCTCACCTCCCGATCTATTGAGCCGACCTGTGACAGTCTCATTGTCACAGGTCGGCTAGAACTATGAGGTGAGTGAAAAGCACCCCCCCCCTCATAGTTCTCCTTTTAAACTGATACTTCATCTTTGACATATATGATGGATGTTTTTAGATCAGTAGGTTGTGGGGACAGAAGGGTGAGCAGGCCTGCCTAGAGTTCTCTATGCTGCCCATGGACCCAGGAGTGCCGGTCCAGCATGGAGTTAAAATGCCACCAGTAGCTCTGTATCTGCCCAGGGCCTCCTTCCAATGGGATGGGCACAGTACAGCTTTAGGGGTGTCCAATTAAAAAGGCCAGGCCGCCCTATTATTAGCTCGACTGCTCCGCTCCAGGTACGTCTCTCCAGCCCACTCAGCCACGAATGGCGTCTCTCAAACACTTTAACGATGGTGGTGTTTTTTTTTTAGATTGGTCAGATTGGCAAGATGTCAGTGTGATGACATGGTAATCAGTTTTATGAGTTCAATGTGTGTTGGGTTATGTTTAAGAGCGTTAGGCTGTGTAACCTAGCAAAAAAACGAATGTTAAAGCGCACTACTGTGAGAAGGACACACTCCGGAAAAGTGAATGTTAAAGAATGGTGTGCTGTGCTCCTCCAATGCAGGGAGAGGAACCCTGTAGATCACAAACCAATAAAGAACAAAGGGCTGAGGAGCGCAACTACCTGGTGATGAACTTGCAATAACGGTGAACGGATGCAGGCACACGTATCCTGGCTGGCCAGGCCTGCCGAGTACGTGTCCTGCCTGGCCAGCCGGGTACGTGTGCCTGCATCCGTTCACCGCAACTACGGTTCAGGGGTCATCCGTCCTTCACTTGTCACCACTAGAAACGGCAGACCCCTGGCGCCCATCTACGCGGGACATCCAGATATATTGATTGACACACCCCAACTGTAAGTAAGTTACCACTTACATAAGTGTATATTGTCATCACCAGGTAGTTGCGCTCCTCAGCCCTATGTTCTTTATATGCTGTGTAACCTGTTTATTAAAAGACTGTCAGCACCATCCCTTGTTATCTCCCTTTGTACTCTGAAGGAGCTCGGGACAATGACATTCTGGCCAGGCTCCTGCTACGGCTGTCTGGAGCTCCTCTTTAGCAGGTGGGACCCTGTGGTGTTGTGCAGACAGAATGTTCAGGGAGGGGAAGGGGGATGTGATGGGATTATAGTTTTCTCTGATCACTTTCTGTATAAAAGGCTGCACAGTTGCTCAATAAATCCGAGTTTGTTTCACCCTACACTCGGGTCTCGACTAGTGACTGGGGAAACTGGGAGCTAAAGATCAGCGGGTTGCAATATCTCCTGAGCAAGGAAGAATACAGCGGCGGACATACTCATCCTGAGTACCGGGGGTCCGTCACAATCAGTATAATGATTGTCAGACCCGCAGTAGATGGGACCTTCCTGTCATCCATTACTGTGTCATGCTGAGCTTCTCTCTCTCTCTCCAGATACTGCACCAGATACAGCACCAGAAGTCATCTCTCCACCTAATAAAGGAGGTAAAGCCAGTACCCCGCAAGTCCCTGCGGAGAAGGAGGAACTGACCTCGGATGAAGCCATGCAGCGGAAGCGAGAGGCGTTCTTTAAGAAGATGATGAAAGGGGGAGATAAAGCCAGGTGAGGGAACGTGACAATCTGCTCTATAGCTGCGGCTGACCTGCAAATGTCACATAAAGGTCAACTGGAAATCAAATTTCACCTGAACCACACGAGGGTTCTAGTGCTGCGGTCTGGTCTAGACATTTCATGTTTTCTGTGTGTTTTACATTCTGGAACACCTTTCTTTTCTGTGCAGTCAGGAGAAGCACCCTTAAAATGTTTGTCTATGAGCCGCCTCTCATTGCCCCATCAATCTGTCTGATGACGTACCTCAGCAAAGCTTCAGAATGACCTCGTTTCTGATCTACATAAGACCGCGCAAAGCTCTTGTCTGTTTTTTTTTTTTTTAAATCCGTGTTTATTGAACAAAATGACAAGCAGACATTTGCATGTAGCACAAAAGAATAAGGACCGCACGCAGGCAGTCTACTGATTCACATTTGTAATGTATGAGCATACATGTCATTAAAGTTAGCAAATTCTTAAAACGAGTCAAACTTCACTGAGGCTCAGCGGTACAGCAACATAAATCGGTCCTGGTGAAAATAACATATCAGTCACTGGCTGAAACCGTACACATCATATTTCGGATGCGCATCTAGGTCACCTTATTGCATCAAGTGGTAATGCTTTGGGCTGTGCCCACCCGTCTTAGCTCCCTTCCATGTGGCATGGTAACCAGACAAGCGGACCCAGGATGGGCACTGTGGCCCTAGCATCATAGCATTTCGATTGTAGAGATGTATGCATTCTAAGGGTAAGGTGAATGAGGCAAGTACCCCGAGGGGCAAAGCAGTAAAGCTCTTGTCTGTTAGAGGTCCTTGGAACATATTATGTCGTATGTACGAGTCCAGAGCTGACTTCATTTTCTTTTCTTGCAGCAAATCCCCAAAGCCTGAGTCTCAAAAAGAAAAGGAAAAGGGGAAGAAGCCCCGAGTGTGGGTAGGTGGGCATGTGAATGCCAAAGAATTAGATTTCAGCAAACCCTCCATCAATGGCAACACCGAGGAGCTGGTGGTCCTGGATGAAGACCTGTTGGCTCTGGTAAGTGTGTGTGTGTGTGTGTGTGTGTGTGTGTATGTCTGTATGTGTGCATTGTAGCTGTGGCAGAGAATTGAGATGTTGGTGGAACGCATTGACCGGAGCACTCAATCGCCTTCCTTCAAAGCAGATTACACTTCAGTGGGTGCTGTATACAGACATCGGAGTAAAGAAATCTGGATAGGTTTTTCCATGGCAGCCAATCGCATTGCTAGATTCACTTGAAAGATAAGACCTAATTGGCTGCTCTGGCAGCTGCTCCACATATGCTTCTGTTTTATTAATCAGCCCTGATTTGTTTTCTTTATCGTCCATTGAGGGGCACAGGAATTCAGTAACAGTCAGGTTACGCTGCCACTACAGGAGATTGGGACCCTGGCAAACCAAAAAAGCTGTACGCCAGCCCCTCTTCTACCTAGCATGTCCCCGGTTTGATTCCCGGCCAGGTCACTGGGTCAGAGGGATCAAAAAGTCCAAACGAGAAGACCAACCAGTCAAAATGAGAAGGCCTTTACTTCTAACCCGAGAACACAAGGAAAGCGGCATAGTGATTAGCGCTTCTGCCTTGCAGCACTGTGGGCACCCAGAAGAACCTTTTTCTGCCTGAACTCCTGGGTTCAAGGAGAAACTTCCTGTGTCAGTTGACCTTTCCGAGCCCTGGGGGAGCCTTGTTCTGCCACCAACACCTCCCAGCCCCCGAGGGAACCTTCCTCCACTGACAGACCTCCCGATCCACGGGGAACCTTCATTTGTCAGGTGACCTCCCGAGCTTCAGGCCGACGTCCTCTTGTTGGGTCCCCTATCTGCCCCTGGGAACTGTTCTCCATTGGGCACCCTCCCCAGTCCCCGGGTAACCTTCTTCACCCCTCAGCTGTGTTAATGAAAACTGAATCCTAAATAACTGAATCCTAAATAATATAGCGGATCTTCTTTTGTGAGATGACAAGAAAGCGAGCTAAGCAGGATCAGTTTGCAGTAATAAGAGTGATGTGAACAGATACAATACAGAACAGCTGACAACCTCATTGGTTGCTCTCTGCATGGAATAGATTTAATTTTCCAATGAAATGTGCATGTCCTTCCAGAGGTCAGGCCGGATGGTGGGGAACCTCCCAGATGTGGAGTGCGAAAGCAGTGAGGAGGAGGAAGAAGAGGAGGAGGAAGAAGAAGAAGAGGAGGACGTTCCTGCCGTTAGAACCAGCACTACAGCTCCAGCCAAGCCCAGGTACTGAGGGAGAGGTTGGGTGACCTCTCCTACCAGCGTGACACTGGGTGACCTCTCCTACCTGCGTGACACTGGGTGACCTCTCCTACCAGCGTGACACTGGGTGACCTCTCCTACCAGCGTGACACTGGGTGACCTCTCCTACCAGCGTGACACTGGGTGACCTCTCCTACCAGCGTGACACTGGGTGACCTCTCCTACCTGCGTGACACTGGGTGACCTCTCCTACCAGCGTGACACTGGGTGACCTCTCCTACCAGCTTGACACTGGGTGACCTCTCCTACCAGCGTGACACTCGGTGACCTCTCCTACCAGCGTGACACTGGGTGACCTCTCCTACCAGCGTGACACTGGGTGACCTCTACTACCAGCGTGACACTGGGTGACCTCTACTACCAGCGTGACACTGGGTGATGTTGGGTGACCTCTATTTCTCTTTCCCCCTAGCACCAAGAAGAGCAGCTTTGGTGGAATGTTTGGGATGCTGAAAGGCCTGGTGGGGGCCAAGAGCCTGAGTCTGGATGACATGGAGCCTGTTCTGGAGAAGATGAAGGATCATCTCATAGGTGTGTGACACAGACATGGCAGTAAAATGTATATATTGCTCTTCTGGTCCTAGACTGATTGCTTTAGGCTTCCATACATATTAAACAATATCTAAAGCTGTCTGTGTGGCCGCTTGGGAAGACGTACCCTCTCTATTTGTCCTGGTGATCTTTGTCACTGGATTTGAATGAGAAATCCTAATGTTTAGAGTAGTCACAGGACAAGGAGTTGAGAGAAAACCTTAGAATTGTTCAGTGGCTCCTGCAGAACTACCACAGGATCCTCTGGCAAAAAGCAAGTGACCAGTGCCTTGTTGGCCACATGCCCGGGCAATGGAATGCTGTCATGAGGGAGTATAAACGAGGTGCTTAATGCGACTTATCAGTAGGTCACAGTCCAAGAACCCATCGCACTCAAAACCGCTGTTCCTTATAAGACGGGTGCTGCGGCAGTCAACGGACGGCAACCGTCTATAATCACAGAATAACATAGACACCGGCACGCCAAGTAATGAATCAATGGCGTCTGTTTATAGCACAATGCGTCAAAAAGCAACATTTCGGGGTCTCCCAGGATCCCCTTCATCATGTAAAAATGATTTTGCCTGATGAAGGGGATCCTGTGAGACGCCATTGATTCGTTACTTGGAGTGCCGGCGTTATCAGTAGGTCAGTCACATTCATACAGGGTGCAATGGCTTAAGTGAATATGCTCCCGAGAAAAACAGGGTACCCCTAATGAAGGGACCCAGCGTTGAAGATTCTTATGTACAAAGTCTCTAAGGAGAGCGCCAAACCAAAAATCTAGGAAGTGAAAATATTGGTATTAGTTCATAACAATAAAGCATAATACATCCCACGTGTGCAGGGTGATCCAAAGGTCTTTAAAGGAGAACTATGAGGTGAGTGCTTTTCGGCTCAGTAGATCGGGAAGTGAGCGAACACATACCGGCGTTCGCTCACCTCTCTATCCTGTCACGGCTCTCTGCCGTGACGGGGGAGGGGCTGGATTCCCCTCTCCCCGCTCCGCCAGCGCTGACTGGCGGATCGGACGGGCGATGGGGCGGGTACAGCTGGCTCTGCCTCTAGATAGGCAGAGCCAGCTGTCACTCACGCAGCTGGGCGGATCCAGACATAATTGTCGGGATCCACTTCAGCTGCGGCGGTCTCAGTATACCGCGAGCTGTAGCTCCCTATATACTGAGCTTAGGATGAGGGGAGGACGCTAGTTTGTGTCCTACCGTTACCCTAAGGAGAACTATGGGGAAAAGCCCTGACCCCATAGTTCTCCCTTTTAAACTGAGACAGAAATGGTTGTAAACATGAATTCCTATATTGCTTCAATTCATATATAAAATACACAACTAAACTCCTGAACAGAAAACTATCTATTAGGGTATTAGGGATGCACCGATACCAAGTACCGGACTCGGCACAAGTACAGATACTTTTCCAGCTCCAGGACTAGACTAGAGAACAATGTAAAAGTTAGGAGGCCGCTGTCATTTGTAGGGAGCACACGGAGCTCCCGGGATTTGTACATCTCTGTTTTAACCCCTTCATGACTGAGCTAGTTTTCAGGTTCTGTTCATAAATGACTGACACATTTTTTACATTTTTGCTGTGTGATTCTTCCACAACAGTAATATACTTTCTAAATAAAAGTACCCACACATATTATATATAGTTTTTTAGAGGACAGATAGGGCTATATAATTATATCACATATGTGTACCTAGCCCCTCACTTAGTTTGAATAAAATAAAAAAAAATGAGGAAAAAAACTAGAAGAAAACACTTTTTTCACAAGTTTTGATTATTATTTTTTTTTTTTAGAATTTTTTTATATTAATTATAGTATAAAAAATATATTTATATATAATTTATATTTTCCTTATTTTGTTTTACACTTTATTTTTATTTTTTTATACTTTGTAAATTTTTTCTTGTCAGTTTATATCAAGCAATCACTATGACAGCTTGTTAACTTTTTTATTTTATGTTTGGCTATTAGGCTGATCCAAACTTAGGAACAGCTAATAATAACCTTAGAGACTGATCCTGACTTTAGTCAGATTCAGATCTCACTAAAAGCTCTTTGATCGTGCCTAGACGATCAGAACTGATACATTTCATTCAACATATATACATTGTATCCTTTCAGTGAAATGTATCCAAACATCGGGCTCTCGAGCTGTCAAAACAAATAACAAAGAGGTGAGGTGAGTCACTGCTGCCTCTCTGCTATTTTGAGCTGTCAAATACGGGATCGCAAATTGCGGTCCTCTATTTGCATGTAACGGCTTCATTCTTTCATTAATTAATGCCTCAATACTGAGACATTAATGAATGACTGTTAAATGCTGAGAATCAGCAAATACCAGCATTACAAAGCCTGATATAACTCGTCACGTACAGTGTACGTGGCCAGTCATATAGGCACAAAGTGACAAGACGTACACTGTACGTCTCCCGTCACAAAGGGGTTAAAGAGTACTATGGAGTCAGTGTTTTCCCCCTATAGTTCTCCTAAGGGTTACGTGAAGACATATACTAACATCCTCCCGTCACCCAAAACTCAGTATATCGTGGGCTACAGCTCGCTGTATACTGAGACCACCACAGACGGGACGGATCCCGACAATGCTGTCGAGATCTACCCAGCTGCGTGAGTGGCAGCTGGCTCTGCCTATCTAGAGGCAGAGCCAGCTGTACCCGCCCCCTCCCCCGTCCGATCCGCCAGTCAGCGCTGGCAGATCGGAGTGGGGAAGAGGGAATCACTGTGGGGAGCCGTGACTGACAGTCACCACCCTCTGCAGGGACATGATCGAGAATTGTGTAAGTGACGGTATGTGTTCGCTCACCTCCCGATCTATTGAGCCGACCTGTGACAGTCTCATTGTCACAGATCGGCTCGAACTATGAGGATGAGAGGTAATCACTCCCTCATAGTTCTCCCTTTTTTAATGTATGATTTTGTTTTTATAAACATATAGGGATGATATAAGAAGATAAGGGATGCACCGATACCATTTTTACAAGTACTGCTACTCGTCCAAGTCCTCACAGATACAAGTACTGATACATTCCAAGTCCTCACATATACAGGTACTGATACATTCCAAGTACTCACAGATACAAGAACTGATACATTCCAAGTCCTCACATATACAGGTACTGATACATTCCAAGAACTCACAGATACAAGAACTGATACATTCCAAGTCCTCACAGATACAAGTACTGATACATTCCAAGTCCTCACATATACAGGTACTGATACATTTTTGTTTAGTGTCATGTGCAACCCTGGTAGTTCTCATGAAAATGCCAAACGTATCGGCGCATCCCTGCTATGTATTGTAACAGATTGTACATTATATCAGATTGTACATTATATAACAGAAGCGGATCTCAATAAAAATAAGATTGGACATGGCGGTTTAAAGTGTCAAACGCATCGGAGGCACACAGCATGCGTTTCTGATCCTTCCGTATTTCCCCCGCAGCCAAGAATGTGGCGGCCGATATCGCGTTGCGGCTCTGCGACTCGGTGGCGAAGAGACTGGAAGGAAAAGTGATGGGAACTTTCTCCAGTAAGTGTCAAGTTCCTCTAAGGTTTTTGTTCGGTGGTGGTGACGGAACTGATTCGGGAGGTTCCAGGTATGCATGTAGCATAGTATGTTGTAATGCAATGCTAATAGTTACACCCCAACCCCACCCCACCCAAACCTGTATGGTGTGGGACGGGTGCATATTTACCAGTCTGTATAGTGAAAGCTGAATTCTAATAAAACTGCTAAATACGGAGATGAGATACACATACAAGAGAGCTGTGATTCCTGACAAAGGATTTGTGTTTTAATCCATGCAGTCCTGGGATTTGCACAGCTCTGCAGGGCTCCAGACCTGATTTTTCTGTTCCGCAGTAACACTCACAGGAGAAGCAGCTGACTGATGAGCTCATCTCCCTGTTTCTCTGCTCTCTTCTCCTAATCAGCATGTTCCTTTTGTTAGCACATGAGCGCTGCAGCACAACTGATTGGCTCCTTGTGCTGCTTCACCTTACCCCAGCTTGAGCTCTGCTGTGCAGGGTACTGTTCAGGTACTTGTACTGTTTTTATATAAACGAATGATGTGTTAATAAATATAGAGGTACATGAATTTGTGGGGGAGTTCTGCCTTGAGCAGTATTTTCCGTGTCACCCGCTGTTAACGCCCCCCCCCTGTAGCTGACCCGTGACGTGTTTCTTCCGTGTCTGTAGCTGTGACCTCGGCTGTCAAGCAGGCCTTGCAGGAGTCCCTGGTGCAGATCTTGCAGCCAAAGCGACGCGTGGACGTCCTGCGCGACGTGATGGAGTCCCAGCGCCTGCGCCGCCCTTACGTCATCACTTTCTGCGGGGTGAACGGAGTGGGGAAATCCACCAACCTGGCCAAAGTAAGTGTATGGGAGCGGCAGCCGGTGGCGTGCGTACGCTGGATGTTGCTGATGAATGATGATGGACCGTGCAGCGGGTATCGCCTGATCCTTATTGGAGGTAGTTGTTTCCCCCCTTTGACATCTTCCCCTCCCCCGCAGATCTCCTTCTGGCTGATTGAGAACGGTTTTAGCGTGCTCATAGCAGCTTGTGACACATTCCGAGCCGGGGCGGTGGAGCAACTGCGCACACACACCAGACGCCTTAATTCTTTGCACCCTCCCGAGGAGCACAGCGGGCGCACCATGGTGCAGCTCTACGAGAAGGGATACGGCAAAGACGCGGCCGGCATCGCCATGGAGTCCATATCTTACGGTAAGCTGAGCGCGGCGCCCTACTGACGTTCTGACATATTAAAGTGAGATTCTGATAATGATTGTCGAAATATTGATTACGCGGCTCCATTTTGGCTGTGCGCGCTCTTGTATTATCTATTACACTGAAGGTCCGGCCGCTAATAGAAAGAATGGGGCCCCCATACAGCATACCAGACGGGCCCCCTTTCCCTGTACTGTGTGATGTGCAGGATCTGGAAACACAAAACAGGAGATTAGCCTGCGATGTCCAGGCGAGGGTGATGTCACCATCCTTCATCTTGTGAACGGCCCGAATCTCATGAGAAGAGGATCCTGCGCCGCGCTGCAGTGTCTGCGCACAAGATTTGGGCTATATGGTGCTCCTGGGATCTCGCTGGCAGGATGATCACATCACCCCTATCCCCCCCCGCACTACAGAAGTCCATGCAGCGTGTCAGCAATGGGGAAGAGACTTAAATGTCAGTGCAAATCCAAATGCCACGCAGGGTCCCCTTCATCAGGCTCAGAGTAAACAACATATATTTACTCTAAACCTGATGGAGGGGACCCTGCGTGGCCCCGAAAGCGCTTGATGACACTCGATGAGCGATGACTGACATCAACAAATGGATTTGCACTGACGTTTAAGTCTCCGTTGCGCTGGTGACGTTTCTACACAAGACTATGCTGAATGCGGCGCCATCCGCAGTCATTGCGAGCACCCACAAATACGTATGGGGGTTCCGGTAAGGTGTGCTACAGGCCCTTGGACGATTAGCAATAGGGAAGGGACCCACACTAAATACGCAGACCTTGCTTGGTGTCCATCGTCTGTTTTCAGTGAATAAACCCCAATGACCCGTGCAATCACTGAGCAGGAAGCAGAAGCTGCATATGTAATAAACTGATAGACATCATATGGCCGGAGGTTTGTGGACATCTGACCATCACACCTAGCTATGTGGCCAGAAGTATGTGGACGCCCCCTCCAAATGATGGAGTTCAGGTGTCTCCAGTTCTGTTATTACTCCATCATACAAAGACATTGTAGACAATTGTGCTCTCCCCTCCTTGTGGTCACAGTTTGAAGACCCTTTTCTGTCCCACCATGACTGCCCCCTGTGTACAAAGCCAGCTCCATACAGACACGGTGTGACCAGCTTGGTCAAATACAATTAGCTTGTCATAAATACTTTTATCTAAAACAAATCCAAAACATATAAACCCCCCAAAACGTCCTACATTGCTGCATCGTCATACAGCGTCACTTCCAGGTTCGGTTCCAGGTTGCTGTCTAATCTCCACTACTCTGTTTACTTTCCTTTCCACCCTCTCAGCTCGGAATCAGAGCTTCGACGTGGTGCTGGTGGACACAGCGGGCCGCATGCAGGACAATGCACCTCTGATGACTGCGCTGGCCAAGCTGATCGCTGTCAATATGCCCGACCTCGTGCTGTTCGTGGGAGAATGGGGGGCTTGTAGTGACATCACGGCAGCTTAAAAATGTTTCTCAGGGTAATTCTGTGTGCGATTTACATTATTTTTGGCAATTTTTGTTTTGAGCATTGAAAACAGACGTTTATGATGGAAACTTTTTTTAATTTTCTAATCCCCTAAAGGTAAAATTCAACAAGGCATTGGCTGACCACTCTATGACCGAGAAGCCGCGGCTCATCGATGGCATCGTGCTCACCAAATTCGACACCATTGACGATAAGGTAGCTAAAACGTCATTGAATTTCGCTCCCATTTGTCTGAATGGTTTCCTCCGTGTGATGTCGGGGGTTCTGATTGGCCGTGCTTTTGTTCCCTTCTTCAGGTGGGAGCCGCCATCTCTATGACGTACATCACGGGGCAGCCCATTGTGTTTGTGGGCACCGGGCAGACTTACTGCGACCTGCGCAGCCTGAACGCCAAGGCCGTGGTGGCTGCGCTGATGAAGGCCTAACGGCTTCTCCTGCAGAGAATCTCGCCATTAGAGTGTTAAGAATTCCTTGGCCCCTCCTCCCCGCAGCGCTGCCATGTTAACGGTAAAGCGAGAAATCTTTCTGTCTCTGCTGAGCGACTCCCCTCCATCCGCCTGAACTGTGAGAGCAGTTCCTAGAAGCTGTCATGCAAGGACATGCAAACGTGCATCCTCTAGGCACCATTCACACTATGCTCTGCATTAACGACCCGGGTTGTTGTGCGTTAGGGGGGCCCACCTTAACGCATCCTAAAAAAGACAATTTTTTATGTTATTTATTATTTTTTAAACTTGCCCCACTGCAGCGTACAGCATTACAATGGGGTGCAGTGCGGGTAGTATCCCAGTTACTGTAGTTGTGTTCATAGCGGTTTAATCCCTCACTGTGCGTCACTGTATTGCATCAATGTGAATGGGCCCTACAAGTGCTTGCATGTCCTTGCTGCCAGAGGCTTGCTGTGCATGCTGGGACTTAGAGCTCCTGCATTGCTGATTGGTCATTAAAGGAGAACTATATGGTTAAGGCTTTTCCCCATAGTTCTCCTTAGGGTAACGGGAGGACACAAACTAGCGTCCTCCCGTCACCCTAGGCTCAGTATATAGGGAGCTACAGCTCGCGCAATTATGTCTATACCTATATAGAGGCAGAGCCAGCTGTACCCGCCCCCTCCCCCGTCCATTCCGCCAGTCAGCGTTGGCAGATCGGAGCGGGGAGTGGGGAATCCAGCCCCTCCCCTGTCATGGCAGAGAGCCGTGACAGTATGGAGAAGTGAGCGAACGCCGGTATGTGTTCCCTCACCTCCCGATCTACTGAGCCGACCTGTGACAGTCTCATTGTCACAGGTCGGCTAGAACTATGAGGCTGAGGGAAAAGCACGCCCCTCATAGTTCTCCTTTAAATTTTCCCCGGTCCAAGGAGCGTGCGCACATTTCCTGTTTTCATTGCTGGTGCTTGCAGTCCTCACGCCCGGTGATCGCCTCCTTAGAGAACCGCCATTAGTCTGTCTTCGGGGGGCGGGGGAGCTGTAATATTCCTGATAGAGCTGCCTTATGTTACTGAGAAAGAGGACGTTCAGCTTCTTCGCTCCTGTGCGGAATGATAATAAAGACCAACTTCAGGCACAATGTTTTTAGTTGATAGAGTGAAGGAGGGTTACAGCTTCTGTCAGTGTTTAATGCAATCTCTCCTATTAGGGGCGATTGCGTGTCACTTCCTGTCCTCTCTGAAACATGTCCCTGGACAGGAAGTGAAATCTCCTTCACAGGAGCATGGACAGCAACAGACTGTCCTGGAGAAATTGTCTCTCTTGCTGTACTGCGTCCCTCTGGGGGGATTTCACCTCTTACTGCAACAGGAACACAGAAATTGACAGAGGGTCTAACCCAGGGGGGGGTCTCAAACCTCTGGCCCTCCAGCTGTGGTGGAACTACAAATCCCATGAGGCATTGCAAGATTCTCCCAGCCACGACTCCCGACGCATCATGGGATTTGTAGTTTCACCACAGCTGGAGGGCCGGAGGTTTGAGACCCCGGGTCTAACCCTTTCCCTACGCTATCACATGGTTAGTCCCGGCCCGTGTTGTTGTATACTGAAAGCACTACCTATGGAAAGAGCCAGAAATGTGGCGTCTCCTCTATTAGCAAGCCATGGCTGGACAAGAACTCCAGGCAGAGGATGTGATATCACATGTTGCCAGCAGATGGCGCTGATTGTATATGCATCTTTATTTTGCTGCTACAGGAAACTGCAACCTCCCCCTTCCTCTCCCATCCTTTTAGGGCACCTGTCACCCTCCGGTCATTTTGTGGGCTAGTAGGATGAAGGGGCGATGCTGTCTAGTCAACGAATTCATTGATGGGCTTGGTTATAATGGGTTCAGGTTAGAAAATGGCCACATGACCCGCGTGTGGACAACTGCATTTTTTTATTCAGTATATTACTGGTCACAGAGTTTGTGCGGAGGGCATGCGGAGGGCGCATTTGAACGGCCTGATGGGACTTTAAAGAGACCCTGTCATGTTGCCCATCCAGGGGAAAGACGAGTTCACTTGTAAACAAAACCTCCCACTGATACCCGCCTGCCTTCTGTGCGTTCCCCCTGCAGAGGAATAACATTGTGTGGGCTCCGTGTCTGAGCTTAGACGGGGTTACTACTCCCCCCTGCTGGTCAGGTGACAGTGTTCAGACCCGAGCACTGCATCGTGGGAGGACATAGGGTCCTGGAGGTCCTGGGTATGTATCAAGGGCTCCAGGTGAGTGGGGCAAGGGTATGCATAGAGGTTTCAGCAAGTTTTAAAAGAGAACCTGTCACTTTCACCCTAAATGGTCAAACTGACAGTCTTTCAAAGGTTGTATCTGAAGTTCCTGCAAGAGCAGAGCCATTGCACCCAAATCTCCGTTTGGTCCGTGTCCACCTAACTTTTATTCTAGCACTCGGATGCATGTGTCCCCACGGCACCCTGTCCTGTGAACCCCCCATTATACAGGACTCAGCAGTGGGGTCAGAGGATGGAATCGTGGTGCGCAGCAGGAGACGCAGGCATCAGACACTTCCAAAATGGAGTGCAGAGGGAAGGTGGGAGACACGCGCTGCCAGGGAGGCGAGTGCAATCCCTCTGCTATTGCAGGAAAATTACATTCTTATTCTTGGGAGACTCCAGCTAGAGGGATAAAGGCCTATTAGACCCGCTGGGGTCATCGCCTGATTGGACGGGCCCCCTCCCCATGTTCCCGGCGTCAGAAGTACTCCTCCGCCTGTCTACCAGAACCATATCATTGCGTTTAGCACCGTTCCGCGTGTACCGGCGGCCTGGAGCGCCGTTCTGGGTGCGTTCGGTCCGGCTGCCGTCTCCTCCTCCTCCTTGTACCTCGTCTAGTGACACCATGCTAAGCTGATGTGCAATATACGGATCCGTGTCCATTCTACAGAGGCAAACCTTAATTTATAAATAAAAAGAATACATTTCTTAAATAATGCTGGAAATGTGTGCGGGTCGTTTGTCACTATAATCTGTATTCAGGGCGTCCGCACCGCTGCAAAGAAGGAAAATCGCTGCAAAATGACAAATGGTTTATTCCGAAGCTTTTTATTTCATATACAGCGGAAAAAAAACACCAGTGTGGGTGACGGAGAGTTCTAGAAAACAAAAGTTAAAATGTCAACAGCCAATCAGATCTCAGCGTTCATGTGGGCTGGGCTGGCCGGGGGGCAGTTATTGATTATTAGGAAACTACTACTACAAAAAGCACTTTGGATCAAACGCACGCTCACTCACCTCTGTAGCTACAGCATTGTGGAGACATTTACTTTCATAGTTCACAACACGGACACTGTGCGCCTGCCGTCCAATGTGAACACACAGCAGGTGTTAGAAACGGATGAAACCCGACTAGAGTCTTCGTAGTGATTTTTAGAGCCCCAACGGCAACCTGGGGAACTCATGTGGCCCTCTGTTACTTTTTGTGTGGCCCTCGGTGTCCATGCATACAGTAATCATTGCTTTTCTATTGCCCTGTAAGGATCTCTAGCAGTCTCATGTACAGTGCCTGCACTCTTGGACTGTCTCCTGTAGAATGTCCCCAACTTATAACAGCCCCTACACACAGGTATTGTTAGATGAGCAAGCAAGCGCAACATTAAAGGGGTATATTTAGGGGCAAAAATGAATGTTAGAAGCACATTGAATGTAATATCAGGAAAATACCCCATTGTGGCCATTAGAGGGTGCTGAGGAGCACAGGAAATACTTCCTATGCTCCCCACTTCCATCTAGTGGCCATAATGTGGTATTTTCCAGATATTTTCGATCTGGAAAGAACAAAATGAATGCACATACAATTCCTCAGGACGAATGGCTTTGCCAGTTCATAAATACACCCCCGAGGAGTCACTTTAGATTGCAATAAAATCTAAGCATCCTTTACCTGATGGCGGAGCAGCCACTGCATTAAAACGGCTGGTCTGCTGGCACATTGTTCCGGGGGGGACGTACTTGTACATTCTCCTGTGACCACGTGTCTGCGCACTGCCACGGCTTTACACGCAGAGCTGATCGGGCGCTATGTCCTGCGGTCAAAGTACACTTATCCTTTTTACACCCTTACCCTGGACTAACCCCCTCCACGCCGATGACTGAGGCCTCTGGTGTTTGTTTATATCCGGCGCTGCAAATCTCACTGCACCTGCACATTACAGCCCCATAGACTTCTATGGGACCATCTCTGTCTCCGGCCTCAATACTTTAGAAGTCTATGGAGCTGGGGCTGGGAACGACAGGTGGTGGTCCCATAGAAGCCCAAGGGGCCGGAGATGGTCCCATAGAAGCCCAAGGGGCCGGAGATGGTCCCATAGAAGCCCAAGGGGCCAAGGCCGGAGATGGTCCCATAGAAGCCTAAGGGGCCGAGGCCGGAGATGGTCCCTTGAAGCCTAAGTGGCCGAGGCCGGAGATGGTCCCATAGAAGCCTAAGTGGCTGAGGCGGAAGATGGTTGGAGATGGTCCCATAAAAGCCTATGGGACTGTATTGCACAGCCAGGACAGGGAGACTTTCGGGAGCTGGATGTGAACAGCCAGCAGAGACAGCGGCCGTCGAATTGAGGTACGCAAGCATCTGTGGAAGGAGTGGGGTGGTTAGGTCCCAGGGCATAAATGATTAAGCGCACCTAGTTTTAAAATGCACTTTCCCTTTAACACGTCTCCCTTTACAATCCCAGACTACAAAGATCTTCAGATATGCAAATAAAATCGGAACCTTTCCAGAAATCCAACTCGCTAAATCTAATACCATTAGGCTTGTGGGCCCTTAGTGTTGTGCAACAAATGGACTTTTACCCTTGGTGCCCCCGCTACCCTTCTATACTTTACTAACAAGCCGAGGTCATTCATTGACTAGCCCAGTCTTAGTGTATTCCGCAGGTCCTCGTGACTCGCAAAAGGTCAGGAATTTGGCCTTGTTCACATTTCTGTGGTTTCCAGCAGCGCAGCCTCCCTCCCGACACAGGAAAACCTCACAGGAAATTCCTAACTGATTTCTGGGGCTGCCGTTCAAAATCACTGAGCTCAAAGTACTCTGGATTAGGTCCTACATTCAAACTGGAACCGTCAAAGCATCCAAACATTTTTTTATTTTACATGCCAAGATGAAGAAAAGTGCAACAAAACAATTCACATGATTTATAAAAAAAAGGAAACAAAAAATAAAAACAAACATGTTTAAAGCTGCAAAATAAAAACCGTGGATCGAGCTGTACGTCATTCGTCACAGCCTGTGATTTCCAGGGGTCCTCGTGGGAGGGTCCTTGCCCCTCAGGGGGTGGAGCATAAACATAACACAAACCAATGCTGCTGTAGTGGGAAGATGAAATCATTTGGGAGCCGGAAGCTTTTCATTTACAGAAACACCGTATGACATTCACAGTCGGGTAATACAAAGTTTGTCCGGCCCCC